GAACATATATTCCAACCTGACTTCTAATTTTACAAAATTACATATGAGTTCACTCTATTTATAAATTCTGAAAAAAAAATCTCTGTTTCAAATAGTCCCACTGCACAGTTAGATGAGACTAGTTAACCAGTTCATATCAGAACTTTGATTCCAGATTAACTAGTCCCTGATTATAAGGATCAGAGTATTAAGGATAGTGAGGATATTAATCATGTCCTATGAACCCCTCAATAGTCTATCTCATGATTCTCAGGTGGAGTCATTAGGAAAATATTCAGTTCTGACATCAAATGTATTTTCAAAAGTAATCTTTGGTAGGAAAAAGTTATGAAACATTCATTCATATATACATTGTACAAAATTGTAACTGATAAAATCTTCATACTTCCACACAGCATGAGAAGCTAAAAAAAAATCTTTACTCTTCATAATCAGAAATTTCTTTTTCTTTAATTCCCATCCAAAGCAGTCAATCTTCATGTCTGAACTCAAACATAATTATCTTTTTTATTTGTGGTTTTTATTTAAAGGTCAGTTATCCTGATTTTGTCTTCTAGAGGGACTTATGGAGACTTTAAATTTATTCGACAAATATTTATTGAGTGTCTACTACATTCCAGGAACTGTGCTAGGTACTTGAATAAAGCTGTGGATAAAACAGACTAAAACAAAAATCCCTACACTCATAGAGCTCACATTATCTTGGGGGAGGCAGACAATAAATGCAATTGACACACTGACTGCCACACTAGAAAAAAAATTGTTTTCCTTGGGACCATGGTGTTTTATTACAAAAATAGAATTAAAACTTCAAAAACAAAATGATCCTTTCTAATTTAATGAAAAATTTGTTATTTTTTATTGTCTTCTGTTCATGAGTTAGATGCAACACAATCCATGTTTTTAGAATTAAATTGTCAACATTAAATGCAACAATAAGAACATCAACAAGTAAGATTTTCACAAACCAACTGCAGAGTTTTGCTTCACCAGGCCCCGGGCTCAAAGCTAGCATGAGTTAAATACAACTCACATGGCAGTTAATGTGTTAATAAGTGAAATACATATTATGTTACATGGTAATAAGTGCTAAGAGGAAAAATAAAGCAGAGAAGGAAAGGGGGGGTGCAATTTTACATAGAGTAGGAAGGGAAGGCTTCATAGAGATTATTTGAGTGAAAACTGAATGAAGGCTGGGCACAGTGGCTCACACCTGTAATCCTAGCACTTTAGGAAGCTGAAGTAAGAGGATCACTTGAGGCCAGGAGTTTGAGACCATCCTAAGCAAGAGCCAGACCTTATCTCTACAAAAAAAATTAGCACCTGTAGTCCCAGCTACTCGAGAGGCTGAGGCAGGAGGATTGCTTGAGCCCAGGAGTTTGAGGCTGCAGTGAGCTATGATGACACCACTGCATTCTAGCCTGGGCAATAGAGTGAGATACTGTCTCAAAAACAAAAAACAAAGAACAAAAAACAAAGCAAAACAAAAATAACCTCACACACAGAAAAAAAAAACTTCCACAGGACAAGCTTACATAAAAAAAAGATTGATTGACCTGAGGGAGCCCTGAAAAGATGAAGGCAGAAGAGCTGTTCCAGAGGGAAGAGCAAGTGCAAAGGCACTGAGGTGGCAGCCTACCTAGCATGTTTGAGGACCATCAAAGAAGCCAGTATGCTTGTTGTGGAGACATTCCTGGGAGGGTAGAAGATGAAACCCAAGAGGTCATGAGAGATCAAGGACTTTGGCTTTTGCTATAAGATAAGAAGCCATTAGAGATTCTTGAGCAAAGAATGTGATCTGACTTACCTTTTTAAAGGGTCATTCTAACTGCTAGGTTGTAAATAGAGACCACAGTAATAAACCAGTCTAGAGAGGATGATAGCTTGGGTCATGATAGCAGAGGTGCAGGTAGTGAGAAATGGTTCAAATCTGGATAAACTTTGAATATACAATCTACAGGATTTGCTAATGGAATATTTATGGGGGAATGAAAAAGAGCAGAGTTAGGCTGAGATTACTGACCCGAAGAACTAGAATGATGTTTCCTTTACTAAGGTGATGAAGACTGAGAGAAACAGTTTTTAAAAATGTTTTCTCACTTATAAATCATAGCACCCACATTGAGCATATAAAGCACTTCTTGGTGTTTAACAAAGCAATCATAAAGAACACATGGAGAATTTCTAAGTGTTTTAAGAGACTCTCAGAACCATAAGATGCATTATATATCATCTTGCTCACTAGGTTTTGAAATTTTTTATATTGATCCAAAAGAAACAAAGTTTATATCTTGACCTGGTACACACATGTGTATCTACATACAAACATACACACACACACACACACACACACATTCACACATTCACATACACATGTATCACTGAAACGAAATTTTATGAAATAAATATCTTTATTATGATATATGTGTACCCTGATGTTTTGTTTTGAATTCTGGTAGTGACACACCAAATTGATTTACAACCCTCATTTTGAAAAACACTCAAACCTTTCAGTCATGGCTCAAACTTTTCAGTATTCAAATGAGGAAACAGAGACCCAGAGAGAGTAAGGGAGATGTCAAAAACCTCCCCAAAGTCAGTGGCAATACTGAGACTAGAACAAAAAGAGCCCAGATCCTCCTTTCCAGCACTTCCCATATTTTCACTTTCTTATAAAAAAAATACATTAAAACAGAATTTCCTGAATAATAGCTTAAATAGCTTTCTTAAATGTGCCCTACCTACTTGCCTTATTTTCTAAGCTTAAACTTTCATGAACACAAATATAACATTTTAATTAAGATATTATTTATACTCAGCATGCATAATACAAATAAAATTAAAATTATTCATGGACTATTCACAGGCAAATTTTAGTAATCATAAAATTAATCAAATTTTAGTTCATCATGAATCTCATGAGGTTGTACACACACTGCACATATATAAAAGTTCAAGTTAAAACAGAACTATGGTAAACATAATTCATTTCAACTCAATGAGCATTTATATAGAATATCTACATTGTGTTAATTGCGTGTGCTGGGAAAATAACAGTGAATTAGTAAGTCCCTCTAACCTTGAGAAACTTACATTCTAACAGGAGAGATAGTCAAACCAATGGCTACAATTCAATATGAGATATATTACATTAATAGAAGATATAAGAGATAGAAGTACAGAGGACTTTGCTTAACTTCTGTAGGAACACAGATAAGGAAGAAATCAATTCTCCTTAGGGGCACAGATGGTTCAGAAAGAGTAAAAAAGGCAAGTAATATTTGTTCTGGGCCTTGAAAGATATATAGAAATTTGCCAACCAGATGAAGCGTGAGAGGAGTATAAGGAGAAGAGGGAAGAGCATGAAAAAAAAAAAGAAAAGAAAAGAAAAAGAAAACCATGTCACATAAAGGAATCGCTTGACTAGATCTTGATGCCATATTATGGTCAGTTTATACATGACATGATTAAGTATTTAGACTTTATCTTACAGTGAATGAGGAGTCATCAAAGGGTTAATAAAGTAATTCTGGGAGCAACATAGTAACTAAATGGGAGGCTGGTATGGATTGTGTCCCCTAGAGAAAATAGGTTGAAGTCTTGATTCTCAGTACCTCAGAATGTGACCTAATTTGGAAACAGAGTCTTTACGAATGTAGTCAAATTAAGATAATATCATTAGGGCAGGCCCTAATCCAATATAATTGGTGTCCTTATAGAAAGGGGAAATTTGGATACAGGCACAGACATGCATAGAGGGAAGGCTGTGTGAAAAGACCCAGGGAAAATGCCAGTTGGAGGTGGAAGATTGAGTGATACATCTACAAGCCAAAGATTGCCAACAAACCAGCAGAAGATAGGTGAGAGGCATAGATCAGATTCTCCTTCACAGCCCTTGGAAAGAACCAAGCCTGTTGACACTGTGATTTTGGACTTCTACCCTCTAGAACTGTGAGGAATAAGAGTGTTCCCGTTGTACTTACAGAAAATCCAGACACCAGTAGCTTAAACAGGTATTGATTTATTTGTCTCAAACAACAAGCTGTCCAAAGCTGGCACAACAGATCAACCACACCATCAGGGAGCCAGGCTCTTCCTTGCTATCCTATCACCATCCTTAGCATTTAGTCACAGGATGGTTGTTACATGTTCCAGGTAGGAAGGAAAAGGAAAGGAGAAAGGGTGAAGGTCAGTAGGGGTGCCAGTGCCTTACAGAAAAACAAAAGTTTTACCAGAAACCCTACTTATTCTCATGGGTCAGAACTCTGTCACTTGGCCATCCCTAACTGGAAGGGTGCTAGGAAGTCAAGAAGAATGATAATAAAAGATAGATAGCAGCGGGGCAGGCAGTGAGGATGGTGGGGGTGAGGGGTTGGATTCGATAATTAGAAAGTCCCTGGCAACCTTATCAAATGCCATTATTTCAGGGGTACACTAAGCATGGAGAGTATATTAGGGGTATATTAGGCTTGTTGAAGACCAGTAGCTGAGAAACGAGAATAGACTGTTCATTTCTTATATTTGAAAAGGAGAATGATGGAGGAGGCAACAATCTGAAGGGGAAGCATAGTAGAGAGGTGTTTTGCTTCGTTTTAGGATTGTGGATACTTGAGCATGTTTATAGTCTGAGCGGTAGAAACAATTGGAGGGAGATTTAAGCTGTAAAAGATATGAAATAAACGTTAACTATTGGGGAAAAGCCCTAAAAAGATGGGGGACAGGGGATTAAACACATCCTTGAAAGCAACGCCTGTTCTTCTAAAACAAGAAAGAAAGGATGAATAACGATGGCAGAAGTTTTGCTGTGCGTAATAAAAAAGCGGAATTCAAGGCTGCGAGATGGTGTGCACCTGTAGTCCCACCTACTTAGGAGGTGCCTTGAGCTGAGCTCAGCCTGGGCAACATAGAGAGATCCTGCCACCAAAAATAAAGAAAGAAAAGAGTAGAATTGTTGAAAATTTTATTTTCGTAAACATACACTTTAAAACTGTTGATAAACTTTAACTTTTTCAAAAAAAATCAATCTTGAATTCACTATTACTCAATTTGTGGAAAGGCATGAGACACCAGGATTTAAGTTCTGCTTTGTTTATTTAGATCATTTGACCAGACACAAGCTAAGTAGACACCGCCTGTTCACTTTTTCCGACTTGCAGAATGGAGACCAAGAAGAGCAGCTTTCGTGAGAGCATCTCAACGTCTCACTTTTTTCCTCCCCTCCTGCCCAGGGGCTGGAGGGCTCCTGAGGGTATGGGGATGATCCCTGGCGGTTTCCTCACCCTTCTGTGGTACTCAGAGCAGTCAAGACGGGACAATGGTGGCAAACGGCACCGGCCAGAGCGTGCTAGGGGCACCCAGAACTAGTTGTGCACATTTATTGTGATCCTGTTCTCAACTCTTTCACCTTAGAACGCCTTGAAGGTGGTGCTCAGTGAGATTAGAAAGCAAGAAGCTGCCATGGGAATCTTCAGAAAACTAGGAAGCAAAACAGTCGGTCAAAGAGGAAGCAACAACAGTGACCTAAGCTACAGCCTGAGAGACTTCCAAAATCTGAGCCCTAGTCTGACAAGCCCTTCCTGACGCCTGTAAGAAAACGGCTCTCACTTTTCATTGGCTGACCCTCTCGGAGTTGAGACCTCGCTTTATTTTCATTGGTTGCTGCTGCTGTCACGTCCTTTCGCCACACCCACTTTCCCGCCGGCGACCAGTGAGCTTTGGGGGAGAGTGATTTACAGAGGGTCGGGGGCGGGAGTTCGCGCCCAGCAAGCCTGTATCCCCCCTCCCCAGCACCGCGCACCGCCCCCGACCTGAGGCCCCGCCCCCAGCTGGGCCGGGCCCCGCCTCCCCCTCCCGAGAGGGCGGGGACCAGGCGGCGGCCGCAGCAGCCGCAGGAATATGCTGGAAGCCGGCGGGCGGGCGCCCGCGAGGTGCTGAAGGGACAGTTCCCGCCGCCGAACTTACCCGGCGGGTGGGGCGGCCCGGGAGCCGGCGGGGCACGTGAGCGATGGAGACCATCTGGATCTACCAGTTCCGCCTCATCGTGATCGGGGACTCCACCGTGGGCAAGTCGTGCCTGCTGCACCGCTTCACGCAGGGCCGCTTCCCGGGGCTGCGCTCCCCCGCCTGCGACCCCACCGTCGGCGTGGACTTCTTCTCGCGCCTGCTGGAGATCGAGCCCGGCAAGAGGATCAAGCTGCAGCTCTGGGACACGGCGGGGCAGGAGCGGTTCAGGTAGGGCCGCCCGCGCCCGGACCCGGGGGACCGCGCCGCCCCCTCCGCTCGCCCGGACGCCGCTTCCCCCACGCCGGCCCTGGGCCGGGGACGCGCCGGCCCTTCCCCTTCGAAAGTGCACACACTCCATTCTCGTTTCCCCTTCGCCCCTCCTCTTCCAGGGACGACTTCCTCCTCCGCAATTTCTCACTTCTTGCTTTGGCGCCCATTTCCTGCGCCCCTCTCCCGTCTTTCCTTTCCCGCCCGAACCAGGGTCGCCGTCGCCACCCCCCACCCCCGACCCCCTCCCCCATCACCCCCAACTCTTTCTGCCTTGCCGGCGTTTTGATCCCCTTCGGCCTCCCCGCCGCCCCCGCCCCCGCCTTCTCCGCAAACTCGTCTCCCCTCACTGCGCACGCCGCGACCCCGCCGCCCTCCTCCACGCGCCCGTTTCCCTGCCCCAACCCCGCAGGTCCCCCGCCGTGCGCCCCGGGAGCGCTGCGAAGTAGGGGTCCCAGATTCGTGACTGAGCCCTCGGCTCCACAGCAACCAGCGCCTCAGCCCGGGTTCCTGCGTGAGCTCGCTGGGCACGGTTCACAGGGAGAAGGATGCGGTAACGGTCTGCACACCCCACAGCTCCGAGTGTGGTCATCAGAAATACTGGGTCATGACCCCTGGGAATGGGTCTTGCAGGGCAACTAGATGCACCATCAGGGGGACACGGGCACCGCTGAGGGTGTGAGAGTGTGTGTGTGTGTGTGTGTGTGTGTGTGTGTGTGTGTGTGTGTGTGTGTTTAAGCATTGAGTTGTCTTTAGAACTTTGTCATCGTTGGTGGTCTGGTGGGGAGAAGATGTATATTGAGATTTGCCAGGAACTTTTGTTTTTGCTTATGATCGATAATGAACGTTCCAGGGTGATAACTAGAGCAGAAAATAACATTTCTACATACAGAAGGAGGGATCCAAATAAACAGTCTCATTCCGGGTGTTCACTGGGGACGTGAAGGATTTCACAAAGGCGACTCGTGTAAATAAAAAGTAAACAAAGTTATCTGCCTTTCTTGAGTATTTGAGGTGGAACCAGATTTAAAGCACATTTTACATTTCTACGATTCAAGGACACTTCGTTTTGGAGGAAGGTAGTAAAACTGGTGTATTATAGTGTTTTGTTTCCTAAAGATTGCATTATCACTTGGAACTCATTTAAGCATGCATTTTGCGTTTGTCAGCGATTACTCTGCTTGTGAAATGCAGTACGCCATGAGGGGACTTCCCAGACATGGCTTCCCCTCTCCCCCAGCCAGCATCCATTCCAAATGAGATCAGCCTACATCTGTGAGAATGGTCCCAACATTCAAAGTTTTGGCTTCCGTTCCCAGCTATGACACTGATTCATAAAGATAATAAGTGCACTGTTTAGCTTGCTTGTACCATAGTTATCCTGTGTATGAAATGGAAGTATAAGGCCAGCTCTTCAGAGAGGTGTTAAAGGTTATTGATTTGATTTATGTTATGCAGTACTTAGAATTCCATGAAGAAATGTTCCTTTTCAAGAAGCCTCCTTTAATTAAAATAATTTTTCAAACTTCTGATTCCTTATCTATAAAATTAAGGAGTCATTATGAGCTCTAAGATTCCTTCCAGTTTTACCTTTCTAAGGTTGACTGTAAATTCCTTCACTTGTGATCTCAGAGGTGAACTTTGAAATATTTTGGGGTCAGAAAAAAGCATTTACTAATAGCTCTTGTCCCGCCCTCTAAAGTGAATACAGTAAAATTGTTCTTTATGCCTTAAACTTCTAGCAACTACTGCGAAATGCAACTATTAACACAAGAAATATAGGTAGTAAAATCTTATTGTGTCTAATTATTTCCTTAAAAGTAGCTCCTCAATTTATTGACAAGAAAGTAAAGAATGATTAGCTTGGTAGACTTTAAAGACCTTTCTGCTAAATAGATGATTGTTTTTTAATGCCTTTAAGAAGAATGTAAATAGTAGTTCATTTTATGTACATTATTAAAACCAGACAGTAACTCGCCCATAATAATGCAAGGACATTTAGGGAATGTTTATTGACAATGAGTCATACTTTATTTTGTTTGGCTCTTTACCAAAGTTATATTCATAAGTATATACATATTTCAGTAGCTACCTCTAAATACTTGCTTTTCTCTCATTTACTAGAATGTTTCACCATAAAATAACATTTAAAACAATTACTGTTAAATCATTCGGTATCTGTCTTCAAGAAAATGCAGATATTCATTTTGAATAATAGATCTCCTTGCTCATTATATTTCATAGAAAGGTACTGTAGTTCTTGAAGATACATTCCTATCAGTAGTCATAATCACACCATGAGGAATTTATAGGAAATGTCATATTTGGAGGTTTGTTGGTGACTAAATGTAAAATAACAAAAAGCAACCTACTTTAGACAGCTCATGGAGTAGCTTGAAAGCATAAGAAAATATGTTACAGAACAATAAAATAGTGGACTGATAATTATGATCATGATTATTAGCCTTAGTTTTTCTTGTTGTTTTGTTTTTGAGACAGAGTCTCATTCTGTTGCCTGGCTAGAGTGCAGTGGCATCATTGTAGCTCACTGCAACCTCAAACTCCTGGGCTCCAGTGATCTTCTTGCCTCACTTCCCTAGTAGCTGGGAGTATAGGTGCACACCTTCACACTCGGATAATTTTTCTATTTTTAGTGCACACTGCGTCTCCCTCTTGCTCAGGCTGGTCTTGAACTCCTGATCTCAAGTGATCCTCCTACCTCAGCCTCCAAGAGTGCTAGAATTACAGGCATGAGCCACAGCCTTAGTTTTCAATGTTCAAATTAACATGCTAGTAAAGGATAACTACTTGCATAAAATAAAAGGAACAAAATCAAAGTAAAAAAGGTTTAGAAATATAATGTATATATGAGCATAACTATAACCTAATACAATACTAAAATGTTACGTTTTTATTATTAACACCATGTTTTGGTGAGGATAAACATCAAATTTCTATATTAAGGAAACTTAGAATTACAGTGCCTTCATTAAAGATAGAAGTTTATTTCCCATACTAGGCAGGGTGGCGTGTGCCTGGGCTGTTGTCCCAGCTACTTGGGAGGCAAAGGCCGGAGGATCACTTGAGCTGAATGAAGAGTTAAAATCCAATGTAGGCAACATAGCAGGACTCTGTCTTAAAAAAAAAAGAAGAAGAAATCTGTTTCTTTCTTGTGTAATAGTCTCAAGGTGAGGGGTCCAAGTTGGTGGAGTGGTTCTGCTCAAGGCCATCATTAAGGTACCTTCTCTCTTAGTTTTCTGCCATTCCATAGGACATTATCATCATCTGTGCGGACAAAGCCGGGTTGCAAGCACCTTGTGTGTCAGCTCAGGGAAAGGGGAAAGAGAATCCTTTAAACCACACATGGTTTTTTTTTAAGCAAATGAGGCCAACATGGTACAGATCCCTTCAGCTCCCAATTTGTTGAGGAAAACTTAAAGTTACAAGGCCACACTTTGACTAGGCCGTCAAGGTAGGGAAAATGAATTTGGCATTGTGTGTGTTGGGGGGAAACTAGTAATCACTATTTTTTATAATTTTTAATCATCATAGTGGAAGAAGTTTAGTGGTAAGGGAAGCAAGAATATTGTTTAATATAGTGTTAATAAGAATATATATATTGGAAAGGCAATAGAAGTATGGAGAGCATTAAATATAAGAATATAAATTTTGAACTTTTCCCATAAAAAGCATTTAAAGTAATATGAACATAAACTGAGATAAAGAAATAACATTGTTGGCTATAGGAACAGGAAAGCTGTGGGTTTCAAGACAGATTTTGCCTTTGATTTCACATCGTCTGGCCTTTGGGGAAAGTTACGGCCATTGGTTTAAAGCTCAGAGAATAGTATTCTCCTCATACAATACTCTCAAGGTGTGTCCTGCAGAACATTGGTCGCTTGTGATTCGTTCTAAAAGATACATTCTGTGATCAAATAAGTTTGGAAATGCCTGTATTCCATATAGCATTCTCTTAAAAATTCATATAGAAGGCTCTAAGAAGTAATTGCAGCAAAGAAACCTGTTTAACTTTGATTAAACTAGTATTTCCCAAAATTTATTTTATGGGCTATTTTTAAAATATGAAAATCTGTGATAACTAGTGTGCTAAGAAGAATGATTTGGGATTACTAACTCCCTTGCTAACTCCCTTTAGTCATATTCTTTGAGTAGAACCACTAAACACTTGAGGTTTCAAGCAATGGAAGACCTGCAGACAAAGTTAACCGGCTGATTCACTTAGCAAAGAGCAGTGGGCAGTAAGTGCCATGTAAGGGACAGCCTTCCTCCTCCCTTCTCCCCTCCCCACAAGATCTGGGGGTGGCCTCTAACTAACACCACTGAATCTACTAGGTCTCTCCCTAACCCTCTGCCTGGCTCTTCATCTCTTTCCCTCTAGTTCTTCTTCTGTGTATCTTTCTCTTAGCCATTTTGTCTTACCACCCCCCAGCTTATTTTTATTTTTCCTTTATCCCTTTTCTCTGCCTACACTACTCATAGTTTATTCTCACCTTCTATCTTTGTCTCTCCCTCATTTTTGTGTCTCTTACTCTCCCATTTCCTTTTAGCTTATCTCCTCTTAGCCTCCTGGCTCCCTTATGTCCCTGTTTTTTCCTCTGCCTCTTTGAAACATTCATAGAAAGATAATGTTTCAAAGTGGTTTAACTTAGGGGGGAGTGTAGTGTCTCATGCCTGTAATCCTAGCACTCTGGGAAGCTGAGGCAGGAGGACTGCTTGAGGTCAAGAGTTCAAGACCAGCCTGAGCAAGAGCAAGACCCCGTCTCTACTGAAAATAGAAAAATAAAGTGGTTTAATTCATATTCTTTTTTCTTCCTTTTAAAAGCAAGCAACATTAACATTTTATATTTCTCTTTTTTTCCTTCTTTTCTTTTTCTAGTTTTTTGTTTTTAAAAAAGCCCCCCATTTAATTCTTCACCCCCTTGCTGTGGTTCATGGCCTTC